TAATCTCCACGGCATTGTGTAAAACTTAATCAGGGTTTAAGTGAGGCTACTTTTAGCGATATGGTTTCCTAAGAGTTTGAGTGGGTGACTCTTCAAAAAGTGTTTTCGCAATAAACATCCACTTTAAGGTGCATGATAGCAGGCTTTCAGACAGCAAGTAGTCATGTTCACGAGCCCAAACGAGACAGTGAAGGAGAGAAGAATGATGTTCCGCAGTCTGTGGTGGAGTTTGTGTATTTATAGGGAGTGTATGGTGGTTGTGCGTGTGCTGCTTATAGCAGCTCTAAATCAACTCTGCTGCTCAACAAGAGTGGAACCCGAGCCAACGTGAAATCAGCAGATGATGCTTGTGCTCAGCTGCCAACATCTTAGGCTGTAACTCTGGTCCCAGCAGTTGACTGTGGGTGAGAGTGCGTGTGTTCATATAGAGTTATTCATCACTATTCAGATTCAGCTGGCTGTATACATTATTAGCTTTAATTACCATAAGCAACATTAGAAAGAATCACCTTTTTTTAGATTGCACACTTGAGTGTGTCCGCATGTGTGTGTGATAATAGATGGCCTCAGATGTCCTTTATGAAAACACAATCATTAGTTAAGCCTGAGGGTGTATGGCTGCCGAGCAGACTGACAACTAATACAAAGGTGATAAACAAATGTGTGTGCAGCAGCAGCTGGCAGAGCAGACCTTATTAAAGGTAATAAGATGTGTATGCATTAACTAGCTGCACAGTGTACACTACTGACACACACACACACAAAGACAAAGATCTGCACGCCCGCATTCCTTGTTCCTCTTCAGCACCCCCCCACCCCCCTCTTTTCTCCTTCTCTCTTTAACCCCCCTTTGTCCCTCTATCCACTAAAACCCCCACATGTGACCCCTCCCCAAAACCACTAAAGTGGGCCAACCAATCCTCAATGGGGCAGCCAGATAGTATTTAGCATGACAAAAGAGAATCCATGCGACCAGTTGGGTCTGTGCGTGCGCTTACATGCATTGTGTATATCTGTGACATGTGTGTGTCGTTTGTTGGTGAAGAAGAGCTGGCTGTTGCAAGCTTTTACCAGCGAAGGAAGTTGGTTTGTGCAGGAAATTCACTCAACATGCGATCAAAGCTCATTGACATTTATATGAGTGCTGATGAAACAGTGTTTCTCTGTCTGAGGCTATTTAATGAGCGAACCAATATAAACCCACTGGAAAACTTTGTGTGTGTCAGGCAGATGAGCTTCTGTTACACAGCACTTGAGAGATTGTGGAGTTTATCTGCACCATTTGTAACATCCCGGGTAATAAACTCCTGCTCCTGTGTGGCAACTTCATATAGCCCCTTACTATCCTTGATGCTTCGGTTGCTCTATATTGAGCTGTTGATGCAGCTCCCACCTGCTCCTCTAATGCCCGGTCAGCCACGGGTCCTGCTTCTCCATCTCTCCCTGTTATACTGGAGAGGCATTCCCCTGCCACAACACATGCTTAAGCAATTATTCCATGCATTCCCCCGGACAGAGAGGGAGAAAGAGGGCTGGAGAGAGAGAGAAAGTAATTTGAAGTGGAGTGATCAGGGGGCAGCTGGCCAGGGATTTGCAGAGTTCTGGGATAGAATGTGTAGAAGTTAAAGCGCAACTCCCATAATCCTTTTCTAAGAGAGAGAAGGGGGAGACGGAGGGATTGAAAAGAGAGAGGGATAGAAAGGGGGGCCGCTGGAGCTGGAAAGGACCGGCCTAGAGTGACAGCGGCCAAAAAAACAAACCAGTTATCAAAGCAACACAAACACAGCACAATGCATCTGGACGGGACGCTCGCAGAATAACAAGTAACAAAACAGCACCAACAAATTGCCTGTTTGAGCAGATGGAAGCAGCAAAGGCCCCCCCTTCATCACCACTGCATCAGTATCATCAGTTCTGAATCAATACCTTAATTAAACTACGATTTTTTCTTCAGCCAAGGTGCATCTCTACTGAATGTACTGTATGTATTGACATCTCTAGCTGGAATGGCACCTCTGGAGGGTTGGGTCAGATGAGGGAGGGTATAGGGGCACAGGCTATTTAAAGGGCAGTAAAAAGGGCAGGTTACAACATTTATGCTGCAGCTACAAACCCAGTGATGCTCCGTGGATTTTGAAATCATCAATGTGCATGAAAAATGTGAAAACCGTCAAAGGGTTTTCTTGTATTGATGTAGTCAACACTCTACTTTATTACAGTCTGTGTTATTCTTGTGAATGTGACAGTACACATGTGATGTCTGGGTTGTTTCATTGTAAGATTACATGTTGTAAAGTGAACTTTTAAACACTGAAACACAGTTGTGTTAGTAATGTTTTGTTTCACGCCTCCAGCATGGGCTGCCTTGTTGAACTGGTTGATAAGGACATGCTGCAGGATTAGTTGTGTTGTGGTCACAGATAAGACCAAACGTTTTACTTTCTTTATTAAAAAAGAAATAATTGATTTGTTGTTAAACTTTTGTATAGTGTGCAAGGTGTCTGCCACTTCTGCATGTATAGTCCTCAACCAGATAATGTGTAATACATCCAATTTGAATTAAACAGAATTAAATAAGGAGTAAACTTATTCATAGACTTACCAAGTAGAAGGCAGAAGATGTCGAGCGCTATCAACAGCTTCTTCTTGCTGTTGTCAACGCCGTTGTTGTTATTTAATGTAGAGGTTCCTCCGTTCCTTGTCTCTTGGGCCATAGCTTTCTCATACATGTACTTTTGCATTGGAGAACTCCCCGGCTCCTCTGAAAACTCCCGCACCACGCGGTGTAGCTGGAGAAACTCTGACAGGCTCTCGAGTCCTTATAACAAATGTCACGCAAGTGTGCGGGAAAACAAACTTCCCAACTCGGAGGTCTCGTAAAAGCAGCGGATGTGCTGGTGCGTCTTCGTTGTCTCGTGTTTCAGCTGTGAAGCAAATCTAGATAAAGTCAAGAGTGTGATGAAGTGAACGGACCCGCGCCACAGACTCGAATCTGAAAAGTTGCTCAGCGCTGGAGATGAATGGAAAGCCCGCTCCCCTGGATCGCTCTTGGCTCAAGCACTTGGAGTGAGTGAGGATTGCGCACAGACAGTCGCTCTTGTTATATCAATCGTTCCTCTCCTCCTCCTCCTCCCCCTGCTCTCTTCAAGTTCCCCCAGCAGCTTGAAAGGCTCAGCCCTCTTCCGACAGCTAGCGGTGGGTAATCATCTCCATCCCTGCATGGAAAACTTTCTCAGACTGCAAGGGAACGAGGGGGATCAGGGCCAGCGTGAAGGCATTGCACCCCTAGTGGTTACGCACGGAACGACAGGCGCACTGGAGTGACTGGTCCTCAGTCTCTGAGCGGTGGTGTAACGTGATGTGTTCTTTTTCATCTAATGCGCACTAAAACAACTAAATCAATCAGCTGTCATTTCACAGGGAATGCGTAAGACCATGTTTATCCGTTTCACTTGAGATTTCTGCCGAAGTCAGTGAGAAAACAAAATTATGTGACTACTTGATATTACAAGTAAACCTTCATTAAATCTTATATTTACCTGTAGAAACTCCAGCATTGCTCACACTGGGAACATGCAGACGGTTAAAGCCTAGTTTATATTTTTATTGGGATTCCTAATTCTCTGTGGAAGGTTGATAATGGCAATTTGCTGATATCAGAACACATTTTTTCATCTGTCTTCATTTATAGTTAATATAATAATAATTCGCCCAAATGTGTTTAATTTGGATTGTTCTGGTCAGAAAAACCAGGCAAACAGCATTTGAAAAACATGAGGCAAAAGACAGAAAATATGTGTATCTTCTCTGGTTTTGATAAGAAATGCGCGAGCTCCTCAAACGTTTTCATGTTGTGAAAAAAGCTCTTTGAAAAATCTTCACCGCAGACAAACTAGGCAGGATTAACACAAAATCCAGTTTCTACCTTGTGGACAGGACGAGGAGCAGAATCCTTTGAAAAGACACGCACACTAGTTTTTGTACTTTAAACTAACACTGCCATCTAGTGGTTAAATGTGAACAACTCACCTCGAGTTCGTTTGAAACGCATCTTTCCATTGACTTCACCCATATACGAAAAATCAAACAGAAACTCAAGCATTCGTTGTTCTCCAGTCAACACTCTATTCCACATTTTCCAAATGTCTGCTGCCTTCTTTTACAGCTGTAGCACACACAATTATTATTTATAATCAACATCATGAGGTTTGATGATTAGAGTATATGGTCTACTCATTTATTATTATTATTATTTTTATTCATTTTCTATAATTTGCCAATGGAGGTGTTGGTGCAAGGTGCAAGCTACATTATTTTACGTTAAAGGTACAGTGTGTAGAATTTAGTAATATCTAGTACCCTCTCCCTCCAAACATGAAAGAGAACCAGTGGCAGCCTTTAATTGTTATAAAACTCAAAAGGTGTTTAGTTTGTCCAGTCTGGACTAATGTAAAAAAACATGGCGACCTCCAGAGGGTCCCCTAAATGTAAATATAAAGTATTTAAATATAAAGTACCTTTTCTGGGGTAAAGAAAACCACAATTCAGACAATTTGAATGAAACGAACTAATGAAAACATCTTGATTAAATTTCTGCCAATAGTTNGGCCTTTTCTGGGGTAAAGAAAACTACAATTCATACAATTTAGATTTTAAAATTGTATGAATTGTCTAAATTTTAGATGAAATGAACTTGTGAAAACATCATGAGAATTTTTCTACATTAAATTTCTGCCAATAGATCCCTTTCACCTAAATCTTACAGACTGGACCTTTAAATAATGAACATAGTAGCTGATCTGATTATCTGTCTATGGTCATGTGCAATTTGAGTCTCTTATTTGTTACCAATCTATCAACAGACCTGTAGGTGAAGTATTTATAGTCATGTTATTGCCCAGGGTGCTAAACTAAGCGCAACACCGGATGGTGGTGGGAGATGCACACAGGTTAGATGACAGCTGGGGGCCGCTGGCTTGTTTGGAGGGATCCTCCCGGTTTTGATCGCAGGGATGTTTGACGACAGATTGACCGTGAGTCCTCCCTGACAGTAACCGACACGGCTCCCTGTTCAGCGGTGTTCATCTGTCAGGGAGCAGCAGTTCTCCTCCTCTCCCCGGCAGCGGAGAGGAGCCATGTGCCCCGCCCCTCCGTGCGCTCCGCCAGCAGACTGCACACGCACCTCACGGAGCGAGCGGAGAAGATGGCAGAGCGGCAACAACAGAAGCACGAAGGCAGAGTGAAGATCGGCCATTACATCCTGGGCGACACGCTCGGAGTGGGGACGTTCGGGAAAGTGAAGAGTTAAGTGATGTTTGTGTGTCATGTCGGGCTCAGTGTTAGTGAGTAATGTGAAGTAGTGGTGCCTCCCCCCTCTGTGTTCAACTTACCGGCGGTCAGTGGGCACTTTGCGTAGCTACACGCCTTAACGTTAGCGGCGGAGGGGATTTAAAGCGTACATACAGTCTGAGAATGCGGCCGCTTGAAAGTCAAATTCTTTCAGCGAAGCCCGTGTGTGTCGCTGCAGTTATCAGCCATGGCAGCTGGATTCACCTGGAGGACAGCGGCCAGCAGCAGACGTGTGTACATTCATGTCGTGTGACGTGATACCGGGAGGGCTTCACGTTGTTTCTCTGCCCTGTGTCACGGTAAAGGACACCAGCGAAGCCTCCATGTATTCCTCCATGCGAGCTCCATGTTGTCAGTGTTCCTCGGCGCTGGAGCTGGTGTAGGTTCGTTACCTCGCCGCTCGCCAGGCTGGGGCGAGCTGCGTGAGTCGGTGAAGGTCTTTCCAGGCGTCAGGTTTCCTCAGAGGAGCGGGTGACAGGAGGTTACTCCAGTTTCCTTTGATAGTTTGCGGCCACTCTGCGTGACCTTGTGCGCTTTAACCCCGCGCTCCCTGCGTGGAGGTGAACCCACCTGAAACCGTGGCCACGTTCCAAACCACATCATTCTTTTATGCATATCAGGAAAAAAACATTCATATTGTTCAATTGCCGAATTGTATAAAATGTTACCAGGGATGAAATATGCTTGTTTTGTGGGAATTCCCGTGTGTGCCTTAGTTGCATTCATGGATTTAATGGAATGGTAGCCAAGGTGTGAGTGGGGTTTGGTAGCTCCAATAACAACGTAACAACAGAGCAACAGCTCCCTGTACAATGACATGGTAACAATAGAGCCAAAGCCTCGAGAACGCTTCAAAACTTAGTTACAAAGCGCTTCACAAGTAACTAAACACACAGTAAATACAATTACACAGGAAATAACCTCAAACAATTAAAAACACAGCCAGAAAAGAATCAATAAAATAATTGTGTCACACTTCATGTGTGACACAACTTTAAGCCTGACCTCCCATTACAATAATAATAACTATAATTAGGTGAAATCACAGAAAGCATTGCGATATACTACATTTTAAGCTTTCATTTAGCTGCAAAATTTTCTCAGGCAGGGTGTTAAAATTCAACTTTTAGCATTTCACACACCCCTCTACCTCCATGCCTTGTGTCTATCTGCCCGTGTGTAAGCTTGTTTTTGTTTTCTTTGTCATCTGTGATCTGTATCTGCTTCATATCTGTGTTTTCATTGTTTTTAGTTGGAGAGCACCAGCTGACAGGCCATAAAGTGGCTGTAAAGATCCTAAACAGACAGAAGATCCGCAGTCTCGATGTCGTGGGGAAGATCAAACGAGAGATCCAGAATCTCAAACTGTTCAGACACCCACACATCATCAAGCTGTAAGTGGAGAAAGACAACGTGTCCTTCTATCAGAGTTCTGATTCTCATACTAGCAGAATAAATAGAGAGACTAGGATGTCACTCATTAGAGCTCATACCTCCGCCAAGGCCCAACAGTCCCCTTATGAAACTACATTTATATTCACCAGATCCAGATTTTTATTTGGATCTGCACCAATGTGCACAGACTCATAAATATCAGTCCCCTAAACATATTTGATTTGATCTGTACAAACTGATTCTACATGTGAATATGCAGAATCTGTGGGAAAGGGACAAGATTTGGGGGCTGGAAACCATCTGGTGAACAGTCCATGTGGAGAATATATTGCATTGGATATCAGCGTTTTCATTTATCTGTATTCATATGGAGATAGCTGTTTGAAGAGATTAACCATTATATTGTCCGGAACAACCACAAAAAGTACAGCTGATTGTGTTTTGTGTGGAGAAATGTTCCACTAATCTGATAAAAGAATCTAGTCGTACTGTTAACAGTGTACGAAGAATAGAAGATGGGGTCTTGACCTGGAAGTCCCAGAATATTGAAGACTTTGCCTCTGAGAAATCAACAAAATGTTAGAAAAAGCTCCTTTCCACACTGTCAAAGAAAAAAGTTCTTGGATCCACTCCCAGATTCGGATCTGCAACAAAATTTAATGGGTTTTTCCCTGACCCATAACACATCTCTCCTCCAAATTGATGTTAATCCGTCCACTAGTGTTTGCATAATCCTGCTAACTACCTAACAAACAAACAAACGCAGATGGAAACAAATCCTCCTTGGCGGAGGTAATGGCTAAAATCTGGTAGATTAGTGGCTGCTGTTTCGTGGGCCTTTTGCTGTGCTGTGTTCCCTCTGTGCTGTGGCATGCTTTGCTTGTTGCTGTTTGTTTACTACAGCTGCACTGTACTGAGCATGCCCACTGGGTTCCCAGGAGATACAACACACAAACAGAACAATACACACACAGGCTGGAAGTAGACAAAGAAATCTGTTCTGGTCAGTTCATATCTCCAGTTATGATTTTCTGTAAGTTTTGGTAATTCCTGCTTCGATAAATCCCCATTCTGATCCAGGTTTCACAGCCTCTTGTGTTTTTTTCTTTCGCTTGTCTTCCTTCTTTCTCTCTCCTTCTGTCTCCTTGACCTTTTTTCTCCTAGTCACTCCACGTCTCTCTGTCTCTTCTCAACAATCTCTGTGTTATTTTTAGGCCAGGGTTATGGTTAGTCCACCGTTGCACTGTAAGATATGGCAGATATGTGAGCTCTCAGGCCATGAGCTGGAGTGCTGCGGACCGCTCTGCCACAGACGTACACATTCATAAACACAACTGTATATATTGAGCTACACACACTGTGCTTCAGAGAGCCTAAGGCATGAAGGCAGAACTGAGAAAAGACCACTTTTTGATGTATTGGCCTTGTTTGTAAAACCATGAAATGAATTTTTGGAATGAAGTTGATTGTGATGAAGAGCAGAGTCTCCCACAAGCAACCATTCATGAGATTATGTCTGCTTTATAACATACCTGACCTTTATGAAAGTAATACTCACACTCAGCAGCCATACATCACAGCCCAGCCTCACCACTGTGTTTATTTGTGTGTTTATTTCCTGTGCATTTAGGCAGTGCAGGTTTTGAAGTAAATAAGAAATGACATGAAGGCCTTTTATTATTACTTTTTGGTTAATAAATACATACTTGGTAATTATTGTACATTAAGTCCTTGTCAAAACTATTGTATGTTTGTGTTGTAGGTACCAGGTAATAAGTACACCCACAGATTTCTTCATGGTTATGGAGTATGTGTCTGGAGGTGAGCTGTTTGACTACATCTGCAAACATGGAAGGGTAAGACGTTTAATTATTAAGTAGCTCATTTCAGTCTGCACTCAGAAATGATTAGCTCAATACTAACTATGGCTAAAATTGGCAAAACAGGAAAAAGTAAAGCAGTGGCAGAGGAAGTATTTATAATTTATTAAACACCAATTGAAACCATTTATTCGTAAGCTCTCTAAAATACTGTCTAATTACACAATATCTTCTGGGGTCTTTCTTGTTTACTTGGCCCATGGTAATGCTGGTTGCTGCTTTCTTTCTGAAACTATAAAGTGACCTGTGGTAATTTAACTGTGGCAAAAGAAGGCTTGTGCCACCACTGCTGCACAAAGAGTTGTTCAATGTTTATTCAGTGTTCAGTGAAGCTCGACTCACTACGCAGAACTTCTAACTGGAGACTGATTTTTCGTTGCCATTAACAAACATGCTGTTGTCATGATTCTGTCTCAAAATCAACAATGCACTTCCTAGGGCCCTTAACAATACACATGCCAAGTGTGAAGCTGATAAGATAAACAGTTCTCAAGATATGTGAGCCACAGCCACAAAGACAGATAAATGAGTTCTAAACAGGACTGCACATGACTTAATTATCCACCATTCTTTCCACACCTGTGCCATAGGCTTTGTTCCGCATTCTGTTACACTCCATCTTTCATACAAGTAGCGACACACTTCTATCTCAAAGACATGGCCAGTAAAGCTACAGTCCAGTCATATCTGTTCATATTGAATCTTTCAGGTTGAAGACACAGAAGCTCGTCGACTTTTCCAGCAGATTATCTCAGCCGTGGACTACTGCCACAGGCACATGGTGGTCCACAGAGACCTCAAACCTGAGAACGTCCTGCTGGATGCCAGCAAGAACGCCAAGATTGCAGACTTTGGTAAGATTCCCATCACACACAGCTATAGCTGGAGGGAGGGATAAAAGGATAGGCTCGGCAGAAGCTGAGGATTGTTTGGGAATTGAATAAGAGAGAGAGCGTAATAGAAGTGAATATGTTCAGGGGGGAATAAGAAACAGAAAGAGGCAGAGTTTGTGGCAGGGATAATTGGAATTAACCAAGTTAATTGGAGTCTGATTAGAGCCAAGTGACACATCCTAATTTTACAATTATTTATACTCTTGGAAAATAGTGTGAAATTACTGTCAAGCACCTGCTAACCTAATTTTTGGAGGAGAATTAATTTCCTATTGGTTGCAGTATGATTATTCTAGCTGATTGGTTAAGAGACCGTGCCTCTCCATGAAAGAGAGTAATATTTTCAAAAACACCAGGGTCCTTGTGCTCGGCAGGGTGTGTGTGGGGTGGAGAGAGCTCCCCTAGCAACGGACAGGTCTCATATCAAGTCTGGCAGGAAGCCTTGAGGCCCAGTGTCATCTGATAGGGAGGGGATCGTTGGAGTGCGGCAGGAGTGTACAGCAGGAGAAGTGTTTTGGCTGAGAGCAACAGACGCTGGTGAGCAGAGAGAGGGAGTGTTAAGGGAACAGGGATAAAAGATAAAGAGAAGGTCAGCACATCACAGAGTGTCTGGCGTTCAGCATTTGGCAGGCAGAGAGAGGTTCATCCAATTAGATGAGCTTTGTGTTCAGAGCTTAGTCTTGGCGCGTAAAGGAGGATAAAGATATCAGCCATGTCCACAGTGTGTAACTCTTACCCCCCCTGTGACGGGCAGTGCTCAGTTTAACCTGTGTGTATCAAAGGATCAATAGCAATAATATAATAGATTATTTCTTTAGAGCGTGTTACTGCCAGAGGGAAGTCACAAAGGTGTTAATGTGTGTTATCTTGTGGTCGGCCAACAGGTCTGTCAAACATGATGTCAGATGGAGAGTTCTTAAGGACAAGCTGTGGCTCACCCAACTATGCTGCTCCAGAGGTCATCTCAGGAAGGTGTGTGCGCATGCGTGCAAATGTGTGTGTGTAATCACACATATTATCGAGACCACTTTGATAATCACAATGCAGCTATTGATTATTTTCTTCATTGAATTAATAACGTGAATAAATGCCCATTGCAACTTTGTCCATGAGCCTCAGTCCAGAAAACAAAATGTTCAGTCAACAACTAAAAGCATAAAATCCTCATTTAAAATGTTGGGCTTTTTTTTACTATGTTTGCTAAGACGACAAAATTCTTTATATGGCGTTAGGACCAAATAGGTTTGGCCTGTTGGACAGAAAACAACCTTTTTGGGTTCCTGTGAAAGTAATTACATGAAGTGTTACATGAATTGTAACAAACGTGTGTGACTCCTTGAAGTCTGAAGTTCCTTCCACATAAAACATGTTTTACTCAGTTGTGTATTGTTTACATTTATATTTACAAGCTTCTTCACTTCGTTTGTTTGTGCATTGCTGTGTTTCATTACCACCACCACCTGTCTATCAGCAGAATACTGTGCAACCTTTGGAAGAAATGTGTACTCACCAATTATTGATGATTGATTGATTGAGACCTTCATGGAAAAAAGATCAAGAATTTACCTCAAACGTACAAATCTTCTGCCTACGCCGTAGGTCGTTGAGCATTCGAAGTTCTGCGTCGAGGGAACGCGTTGCTCTGCAATTCACCGCCATGCCGCTAGGGGGTGTAGCGGTGTGTTTGTGTGGTTATAGCCGAATCCTCGCTTTTTCTTCCGTAAAGTAAACAACAGTAAACAATGGCGACCGAGGTGGAGCAGCTGTATTTGTTGTTGGAGCTCATCAATATTGAAGAACAAATGCTTATATTGCAAATGTTGAAGCGCAAGCTACARAGAAAACGTTTGCGGAGBTGKTTTTTACGACGAGGRAGAAAGACCGGAAAAGCAACCGCCGGAACTTACGTTCTGAGCGGACCAATCACAGCGCTTACGGTCCGCGTCGACGTCCGCGTAGTTAGGATTTTTGGGAGGCGCACGTCAGGCTACGGCGTAGGGGTCTGCGTCTACGCCGTAGCTACGCCGTAGCTACGGCGTCGACGTGACGCAGAAGCATAAACTAGGCTTTAGCTTGAGTTAAACATAGAAAATGGATGCATTAATAATAATAATCAGTGAGGCAGTTTATCTCTACATAGATAAAGACATAACATTATTCCTGTTGGTGTTTCTGAGTAACACCTCATTTGAGCTCCTCCCATTTAGCATTTATACGTGGTATATAAACAATGACTTTTTTTATAGAAACACTAGTTATGCATGTTTCACTGGACAAGTTTTGGTTGTTGACAAATACATTAATGGAAACACTGGGTCAAGCGGCTTCATATCTTTATATTTATCACAAATACATTTTAAATTTGAATAACCAATGTCTGAATAACCTCACATCCTCTCATCTGTCCCTCAGGCTCTATGCAGGACCAGAGGTGGACATCTGGAGCTGCGGAGTGATCCTCTACGCCCTGCTCTGCGGCACTCTGCCCTTTGACGACGAGCATGTTCCCACGCTGTTTAAGAAGATCAGAGGAGGTGTCTTCTACATCCCAGAGTACCTGACACGCTCTGTGGCTTCGCTGCTGATGCTCATGTTACAAGTTGACCCCCTGAAGAGAGCCACCATCAAAGACATCAGGTAATTACTGCACTCTTTTAGATCAAGTGACCTTTATCCTCTACAGGATCTTTTTGCGCTTTCTTTTTAATTATTTTTCACAGGTTCATTTATCGTCAATACTCACATAATGTGATATTTTGAATTAATATAATCAGCTATTGGTTTGGTTTTATAATTAAGCATAATCATTTGTATTTTTTGTATTATTGTATTTTACATTGAGTGATGAATCTCTCTCATCTGTCAGGGAACATGAGTGGTTTAAGCAGGACCTGTCAGGCTACCTGTTCCCTGAAGACCCTTCATATGACTCCACAGTCCTGGATGAGGAGGCCGTCAGAGAAGTGTGTGAGAAGTTTGAATGCACTGAGTCTGAGGCTGTGTCCAGCCTTTACAGTGGAGATCCACAGGTACACTCATTAAGACACATTCAAAATCTTGGGGAATATTGAGTGTATTCTGTTTAATGCATGATTGTTGTAATATTTGAGTATGTAGGTGTAGACAGAATGTCGCTTCATTGTTAGCTTCAGGGTCACAGTCAGCAGTGTTAAAGGATCGGTTTGGGGATTTTCTAGTCGATATCAATATGCCCATGTATAGTTGAGAATAGTGGACAGCTCTCTGTTGGAAAAATACACTCCAGAGTTTGGCTGCAACTCATTGGAGACTTCAGTCGTCCCACTTAGCAAAATAAAGAAGCTTTCAAATTTAGAATCTGTTTAAGATCATTTTCCCCCTTGTTGTTTCCCTGGTTGATTGTTGGTTCCCAGCTGAGCTACATAGGAAAATACCTTCTGATAGTCACGTGTAAGTCTGGAACTGATATGTGTTGTTAAGTGAGTTAGAAACCAAAAATATCTATCTAATCTGTACCTTGAGAGATATCTTTGCATACACATATGTTAAACTGAGGCAAATAATATAACAATTAAACTAAACTGCAATAATTTATTTTCAGCATAGTCACATTTAGGTAAAGGCTGGTGTGTAGAGTGGGGATAGTTAAAGCAATCAAGACCTAATCTCAATTTATCCATTATCCATACTGCTTATCCTTATGACTGACAGGTTGCCAGCCCATAATCTCAATTCAATTCAATTTTTTTTATAGCTCCAAATCACAAGATACGGGTGCATCAATATAACAAACTTGAAAAATCCTAAATCTATCCTATAAGCTATTATGCTGCCTTTACATATGAAAAGTGATACGTTCCATTTCAAATAAGATAAGAGTCACAGTCCTCCTACTTCCATTCATCCTTTGCGTTGACATGGGCATGCGTCTTGTGGTTGCCATACATCCAGTAGAGGACAATGCAGAGACAAGAGTATCTGACAACAACTATAAGAAACAATGTCAACACTAAAAAATATCTCTTGGTAGAAAATAAGAAGCTATGTTTGGATTAGATTTCTGTTAGAAAGTTTGTAGGCTTCAGTAATCTGATGGTTTGTCCCTGGCTTCAATGAATTATCTCTTCAGTCTTCACTATACTATAATTCCCATCCTCCCTCTCTCCAACCAGGATCAACTAGCAGTGGCCTATCACCTCATCATAGACAACCGGCGCATCATGACCCAGGCCAGCGAGTTTTACTTGGCCTCCAGTCCTCCTCAGGGTTCCTTTATAGAGGAGGGCATGCTGTTGCCCCCTGGACTTAAACCGCACCCAGAGAGGATGCCACCGCTCCTGGCTGACAGCCCTAAGTCTCGTTGTCCTCTGGATGCTCTCAACACTACCCGACCCAAACCTCTGGCAGTCAAGAAGGCCAAGTGGCACCTCGGTATCAGAAGTCAGAGTAGACCGTATGATATCATGGCTGAAGTGTACAGGGCTATGAAACAACTAAACTTTGACTGGAAGGTAAAAAAAAAATTCTTACACATACACAGTTGTGTACTGTGCACACACGTTTCTCTTTACAAACTAGAGGCTCTGTTATTTTGTGTGGAAGGTGGTGAACCCATATCATCTGCGAGTGCGGAGGAAGAATCCAGTGACGGGCAACCTGGTGAAAATGAGCCTGCAGCTCTACCAGGTGGACAGCAGATCCTACCTCCTCGACTTCAAGAGCATAGATGGTTAGTGACACACAGATTTTAAAATACATAATCAATTGTATTCAATCCAAATAAAGAACTTATATATACAGCTCTGCAGTTACCTGAAATGAAAAAGAGATTTGTCTGAGCAGAAGCTCACACAAACCTGGGGTGCTCCTGGAGGAAACATGCCAAAACCATTCTGTTTCTGTTTCTTCTTCTTTTCCCCACGCCTGTGGTTTGGTTATTTGTTTTCAGCAGTGACACATTAGGCCTCAAGCCTAATAGTGCCAGTTTTTGGTTCTTCCCCCTAGAGAGGATGGAAAATGGGAAGGGGTTTAGGAGTTAGCTTGAAACAGAGCGGAGCATAAGTACAGTCTCTGAATATTGCATTCAGTGACTGAGATCACTTACACTTGAAGGTAATCTTGTGTATGCTGATGCTGTTTTCCTGCACTTCCCTAAGATGACATCATGGAGGCAGTGGGCTTCAAGTCGGGTTCATCCACTCCACAGAGGTCGGGCTCCACAGCCGGTCTCCACAGACCCCGACTAAGCATTGACTCAGCGAGCCCTGCCATCGATCTGCCACAGCTCAGCTCCTCTCTCCCAGGGTCCCTGTCCGGCAGCAACCCTCTTCTCACCCCACGTCAGGGGTCACACACCATGGACTTCTTCGAAATGTGTGCCAGTCTGATCACCACACTGGCACGCTGAGGCCCGGTGAATCCTAACCTTCCTGTAATATGGATGCCAGTGGGGTTTTTAAGCCATTTGCAGATGTGCGATGTAGGGAGTGTAGCTTTGTGTGGTGACCTCTCTTTCTGTCTCCTCTCCATCTCTGTTCCACTTGTGTTTGACAGAGAGAGAGAAGGAGGAGGCCTTCAGCAGAAAGGTAGATTATTATTTTTTTTTTGTTTTGACACAGTCCTTGGGTCAGAATCAGGCTGATCCTGGGGGTGGAATCTCTGAACTGGTGAAAGCCATCAAAGTGAGTGGTTAGAGGTCATAGTTCACAGCCGTGTTGGCGGCAGCAAAGGTCAAGTTCACTGTCACTCCTCTCACAAATCCCCTAAATCTAGTAACGTCACCCACCAGAAACTGAGCAGAGGTCAGTTTTGCTTTTGATTTGGACTCTAGTTAAAATTGACACTAAACATGTGTCTGGAAGAATGTTACCAAATGTAAAAAATGTATTTCAGTTAATTTCTAGAGATTGTTTTTTAGCAGCTGTAGTTCTGTTATTTAAGCACTGACATAGAGGCTTATCCTGATTTTGTTAGATTGTTGGTGAATAATGAACCTAGAGAGAGAGCAGGATAATAGACTGACATTGTGTTACATGGCAATGACTGTGTGCTGCATTTGGTGCTGAAGACAGACACACATCATCTCACACAAGTTTTCACTACCACTACATTATATTACTATAGTTAAATTATATTTTTGAATACCAATGGACTTTCCCTGTTTCAAAAATTCCTATCACTCAGATTAATTCCCCCATGATTATCATTGCATACATTGAATAATTGTCAAACACAGAAGAGTTAACCGCCTCTTTATCCAAACCGTACATGAATAAGTAAAGAGGCGATGTTGATAGAGTGGGCGGAAAGGGTCATGATGATAAATCCATGTGAGATGTGTGTGTCTGTGTCTGACAGTATCAAGCCACAGAAACCTCTTCTCCAGTTGCCTTAAATGATTCTGTGCATATGAATATGCAGAGTGTGTGTATGAGTCAGTGTGTGTAATGCAGATTAGATGGGTGAGTGTCACGTTTTCTCACTGACCTGGTGTGTTAGATTGGAGGACCCTCACACTGGGTTATGAGCTCAGTGGAGCCGGTAGAGTCAAGTGTGAATCTGAGAACAAAGAGCTGAGAATCAAAAACGCGATGCTTTGGTGTTCTGACGCCGTTGGACCTGTTTCCTGTTGTCGTCTTTTCAGTCTGCACTTAAACACTCATTTGTTGAGGCCAGACGTTTGCATCACATACTTTGTGGGTTTCCGTAAATGTTTGTTTGTGTACATGTCACAGAGTTATTACTTTTATAAATGTTCTGCATTGGCCTGTCAGTCAAACCAGAGTAGTGTTGTCTGCAGTTGTTGTCACTGGATCTTTTCTGACTGAATGTAAAGTGGAAGCTAGGCCTGCTCACACTTGTAAAGACATATTTCTTATGACATTACTTTTTGTCTTGGCATTGTGTACTTTGGGATGAGTGTTAGCACCAACTCACAAAGCTTATGTGTCTATGTCTTTGCAAATGTAAAGCTGATAGGTGCTGTTACCTCTTTTCATCTTTGCCATATTGTCTGTGGGAAAAAGTCTGTTGCAGCTACTAAGTAGAGTTTTCTGGTGTGTACTCGACTTCTCTTACCCACATTTATGAGTCAGTAGTAGCCTCCCCTTTTAGATGCAAGTTCCTCCTTGAGTCTTGGCTTGTCAAAGTCCTTTGTCCTTTGTTTGGTGTCTCATTCACTCTCTTCCTCCTTTTTGGGTTGTCATCATGCAAATGTCCTGCCTGCGTACATGTTGTGTGGAAGAATGCAAATTATCATCCACATGAAAAAATATTGCCATAAAGAGCAGCACAACAAATTGATTTTATATCATCACATGATACATTATGTCAAATCGCATAGCCCTGCAGAGTGTGTTCTCTTGGTTGGTGGTGTTTGATGAACAGTTAGTGTCAAATTTACTTTCGACTGGTGTCTATGAAAAATACTATGAAAGGGATATGTAATGGTGTTGATAAGACATTAGGAAATAAATAAAAACATGAATAAATCCAGTATAATACTGAATGTAAATGAAACAATACATTTTGAAATAATTTAAGAACTTGCTTTACCTCAGCTCACTATTATGAAATGTTATTTATCATTGTTAGTTTCATAGACTGGGAGTATGTGATGTGGCTAAACTGGCAAGGACCAGGAAAACACAGGACTTCTGTATTTATGAAGTTAATATGGAGTAGCAATGAAATAACATTTCATAATGATGGGTTGACTTCCAATTATTAAATTATTCCAGTGTATAATATTTCATGTATATTTTGTGTATTTATTCATGATTATTTATTTCTTATTACTTGTTATAGGTGAAGTTGACATCATCCACAGAACAGCATTTAGATTTTGGCCTTATGAGAGCAACATGAAGATTTATGGTGAAAGTCCCAATATGTGTTACTCTGCTCAAACCCTTTATTACAACATCCCGCTGTTGTGTGTAGAGTTGTCCACTGTGTGGGACAACACACACACCACTGAGTACACTTTGATGTCAGAGGGAGAAACTGCTTCCTGCTGCAAGATACATGCAACTACACACACACACACACATACACACACAAACAGACACACACATACACACATACAGACACACAAGTAAACACTTATTCATGTACTTCTGTTAAACTTCTATGTTTATTACAGTGTCTTAATGACTGTCCTCTGTATCGTGAGCTACTTTGGTCACATCAGGATCATTATGCATTCACTCCTGATGACATACTACTGCTGCTAATGACAACGTTGATCCATGAAGTGCAATATCCAGGAGAAGTCGTGGTCCGGATTTAAAAACCTCTCTGATGTAACCAGTATTCACAGTAAAGCGTACTGTAGTACTGCACCATTTCAGCTGTATGCAACTATCAGTGGCATGTTAGTCATATAAACTCTACTGTGTGTTTAGAGCTACAAACACGTGCCAGAGGACCTAATCAAATACACACTTTCTGTGTCGTACCAAAGTGAAGATTTTGTCAGTCTCTGTCCATCTGTGGTGGGGTTTTTATCAGTGTAACCTTAAATACCCCTGTCCATGTGTGTGTTTGTGTTGGCACACTGGTTATTGTGAAAGAACGTGTACAAGGGTGTGTTTCTGCACGTTTGTGTGTGTGTGAGAATGTGTCTCTGTGTCTGATTGGGATTTGGATTTCTCTTGTTATGCACTGCATGAAATTGCTGTTATGATTTGCACTTTAATGAGTATTTATGTATTGAAAAACAATAAACAAACATATAAAAAGAAAACTGATTTCTTTCTTGAGGTTTTGTCTATTTGGAAATCACACATTCACTCACACATGCGCGCACACAGACACACAGATAAACACATGACAGATGGTTATTTTTGTGTTTTTTCCACAGACAGTTGTCAACAATAATATCTTACATGAACATGACCTCAGGCGATCATCAGTACTTTACTTCCTCCTCTGTATCACTTACTCTTTAACTTGAGGGAAAGTCCTAAAAAATAGGCGACACATAAAAGTGGCACCTGCCAGACATCAGCTCCATAAAAAGAGAAGAAGATAAAGTTACACGTGATGTTTCCCTCCAGAAGGTTCAACTATGACCACTACATAGTAATTCTTTAGTTGTATAAATGAGATTACACCGTGTGTTGTATAAAATGTTTAGGTAACAGCATGAGACTCTGTGGCTGACGTGATGTGTCGTATCCAAATGTGGACCCAAAGCTGCACATACATTATGTGATATGNAATGAGACTAAATAAAATTACAAAGTAGAAAAATGTGTCCATATACAAAAAAGCACAAAAATATACACTCTTTAAACTAAATATTGAATGTCCTAAAATCAGTGTTATTCTGTTGAGTAATGCAGATGCACATATAGAAAAGGGGGGACCATGGAGCCAGGAGGGCACTCGGAGAGTGTATACCTCCACCAAGGCTGACGCCCTATTTCACCAAGAGAAAAGCTGGATCCGTCCATTTATTTGAATCTGCCCCAAAATGAAATGGGTTCTTCTTTGGGTCATGTCCCAACTCTCCGCAAAATAAATTTTTTAATCACAATCAATCTAATCACATAAAACAAACTAATGCTGATAAAAGCTTTGTTTTGGTCGAGGTAACAAATGAAAACAGATAGGGTTGAATATCAGTATTCAGACAATGGTAACGTGTTGTGTTTATGGACTGAGCTCCGACCCTAATCTGTGGATAATGTTTCAGAGGAACAACCTGGAGGAGGAAGGACTGATGAATACTCTACATGATTTTTACTGCAGCAGACCTCTATTTAACAGTGTCTTGACATAAAAAAAATCCACTTTTGCCATTATCCTGCCATTGTTTCAACAATAAAAATAGATTTGGCTTTCTGGTAATAAAATGAAAAGTGTGTAATTTTCCACCAAGGAGCTTCCAGTGTCACAGTATCCAGAAAACCTCTGTGTGTGTGTGAGTGTGTGTCTGCAACAGTTTGTAGCTCCTCGATCTTTGAGTCACTCGGCAGCCGCAGCCACACATACTGTCCCTCAGCGGTTTCACACCAAGCTCCTAAAAGAACAGAAACAGCATGGGAAGATTTCCAGCTGCTGAGAGCCCGAGTGGCCTTTCCTGTTCCTCTTGTAAATCATCACACTGATCTATGCACGTGGTCGTCAGATAAATTAAGTCATATAGTCGAGATGATGAAATCACTGTCACAGCATTAGGTGACTGACACGGATCACAGCGTGAAGAAAAGCATCATGGACAAATTCTTCTGTCTGCTTTGTGTTTCTGTGACAAACAGAAAATAAACTTTATGTCAACATGTGAAATGCACAGTGATGGACAGAGAGGAGTCTGGGATATTCATTCTTACCGTGTCTGATGATTACTCAGTGGTAAAGTCAGCATACAGGTCAGGAGGAGGTAAAATGAGCGAATCAGGATCAAAATTCAATTCTGCTGTTTCACTGACATCAGGCCTGTGGAAAACAGATTAGAAAATAAATCATCACCTTCTGTTCTGAATTGTTCTGGTGCTGTATGTGAACTATTGTACCAACAGTGACCTCCTCATGTCACCATCTTAAAGTTAAAGCACATGACTGAAGATGACCAACTCCTTCTGCAGTTTAACTTCCTGTTTGGACAGGAGTGCATTATTTCACCTGTCCGTCTTTCTTTCTCTCAAACACAAAAAGAATAAAACTCTCACTTTTCATGCTCAGCAACTCATCCCAGTCTAAAAAGGATGGAGGCCTGTTTGTTGTTGTACAACATGTTCAGCATTTTTCTCTGAGTGTTTGCAGCTCTACTTACAGCTCCACTGCTTCTTGTTTCACGAGCACACGACCTGGAATGAAAAGTATTTTGGAGTCACACGCTGAATGATAAATTACATTTTCAGTGACAAAAGTAGTTACACTGAACTAATGCGAACTAAAGAAATTAAAATACAATTTTGAAAAAGGAATCATCATCTTTCCCA